ACCAGTTTTTTCTCACGATCTTCTCCATCACCTTGCATGGTATACGAGTCAAGGACACTGGCCTGTAGTTCAGTGCCTCTTGCCTGTCTCCCTTTTTGTATATTGGGACCACATTCGCCGTCTTCCATATTTCTGGTAGGTCTCCCGTCTCCAGTGACTTTCTATACACTATGAAGAGTGGCAAGCAAAGTGCCTCTGCACACTCTTTAAGTATCCATGGTGAGATCGCATCTGGACCAACAGCCTTTCTAACATCCAGATCCAGCAGGTGTCTCTTGACCTCCTCTCTCATAATTTCGAACTCTTCCAAGGCCGCCTGGTTTACCTCCATTTCTCCTAGCACAGTGACCTCACCTTGTTCTATTGTGAAGACCTCCTGGAACCTCTTGTTGAGTTCCTCACACACCTCTCTGTCATTCTCTGTATACCTGTCCTCGCCTGTTCGAAGTTTCAATACTTTTTCTTTCACTGTTGTTTTCCTTCTGACGTGACTGTGGAGTAGCTTTGGTTCGGTCTTGGCTTTGTTTGCTATATCATTTTCAAAACTTTTCTCTGCTTCTCTTCTCACCCTGACGTACTCATTCCTGGTTCTCTGGTATCTCTCTCTGCTTTCTGGTGTTCTGTTATTCCGGAAGTTCCTCCACGCCCTTTTGTTCAGTTTCTTCGCTTCCATACATGCCCTATTATACCATGGATTCTTCTGTTGCTTCTCGGATTTTTCCCTTTGGGCCGGGATGAACCTGTTTACTGCCTCCTGACACTTTTGGGTAACATAGTCCATCATACCCTGTACAGACTTATCTCTGAGGTCTGTGTCCCAAAGTATTTCACTTAGGAAACTTCTCATCTGTTCATAATTCCCCTTTCGGTATGCCAGCCTTTTGATTCCTAGTTCTTTTTTGGGGGAGATAAGTCCTAGCTCTACCAGGTACTCAAAGTTCAATACACTGTGGTCACTCATTCCCAAGGGCGCTTCCATCTTAACTTCCCTTATATTCCACTCATTTAGGGTAAATATCAAATCAAGCATTGCTGGTTCATCTTCTCCTCTCATTCTTGTTGGTTCTGTGTGTGTGTGTGTGTGTGTGTGTGTGTGTGTGTGTGTGTGTGTGTGTGTGTGTGTGTGTGTGTGTGTGTGTGTGTGTGTGTGTGTGTGTGTGTGTGTGTGTGTGTGTGTGTGTGTGTGTGTACTCACCTAGTTGTACTTACCTCCTTGTGCTTGCGAGGGATTGAGCTTTGTCTCTTTGGTGCCGCCTTTCAACCGTCAATTAACTGGTGTACAGATCCCTGAGCCTACTGGGCTTTATCATGCTTGTATTTGAAACTGTGTATGGAGTCAGCCTCCACCACATCACTTCCTAATGAATTCCATTTATTAACTACTCTGACACTGAAAAAAATTATTTCTAACGTCTCTGTGGCTCATGTGGGTACTAAGTTTCCACTTGTGTCCCCTTGTTCGAGTTCCACCCGTGCTGAAAATTTTGTCTTTGTTCACGCTTTGTGTGTGTGTGTGTGTGTGTGTGTGTGTGTGTGTGTGTGTGTGTGTGTGTGTGTGTGTGTGTGTGTGTGTGTGTGTGTGTGTGTGTGTGTGTGTGTGTGTGCTTACTAGTTGTGTTGTGTTTTTACGGGGGTTGAGCTTTGCTCTTTCGGCCCGCCTCTCAACTGTCAATCAACTGTTTACTAACTACATTTTTTTTTTTTTTTTTCCACACCACACACACACACCCGAGGAAGCAGCCCGTGACAGCTGACTAACTCTTAGGTACCTATTTACTGCTAGGTAACAGGGGCACTTAGGGTGAAAGAAACTTTGCCCATTTGTTTCTGCCTCGTGCGGGAATCGAACCCGCGCCACAGAATTACGAGTCCTGCGCGCTATCCACCAGGCTACGAGGCCCCCTAAACAAGGGGGCCACACATCAGTGTGTGTGTGTGTGTGTCTGTCTGTCTACTCACCTAGTTGTACTCACCTAGTTGTGCTTGCGGGGGTTGAGCTCTGGTTCTTTTGTCCCGCCTTTCAACCCTCAGTCAACTGATGTACAGATTCCTGAGCCTACTGGGCTCTATCATATCTACATATGAAACTGTGTTTGGTGTCAGCCTCCACCACATCACTGCCTTATGCATTCCACCTGTTAACTACTCTGACACTGAAAAAGTTCTTTCTAACGTCCCTGTGGATCATTTGGATACTCAGTCTCCACCTGTGTCCCCTTGTTTGCGTACCACCCGTGTTAAAAAGTTTATCCTTATCTACCCTGTCAATTTCTCTGTGAATTTTGTAGGTAGTAATCATGCCTCCCCTTACTCTTCTGTCTTCTAGAGTCATGGTGTGCATCTCACGCAGCCTTCCTCGTTATTGATGCCTCTTAGTTATGGTACTAGCCTAGTGGCATACCTCTGAACTTTTTCCAACTTCGTCTTGTGCTTGACAAGGTACGGGCTCCATGCTGGGGCCGCATACTCCAGGATTGGTCTTACATATGCTGTGTACAAAGTTCTGAATGATTCCTTTATCAGGTTCCTGAAGGTTGTTCAGATGCTAGCCAGCCACGCATATGCCTCAGATGTAATTATTTTTATGTGGGCTTTAGGAGACAGGTTTGGAGTGATATCAACTCCTAGATCTTTGTCTGTCCGTTTCATGAATCACTTCATATCCCATTCGGTATCCTGTGTCTCCTTTTTCCACCGCCTAGTTTCATGATCTTGAGTTTATTCTGGTCGAACTTTAGTAGCCATTTGTTGGACTATTCATGCAGTCTGGCTAGGTCATCTTGTAGTCTCCTATCTTCCTCTGTTTTAATCCTCCTCATAATTTTTGCATCATCAGCAAACAATGAGAGGAACAATTCTGTACCTTCTGGGAGATTATTTACATATATCAGAAACAGTATAGGTACAAGGACTTAACCCTGCGGGACTTCATCGGTGAAGTCTCGCCAATCTGAGGCCTCACCTTCTCACAATGACTCCTGGTCATCTGTTGCTTAGGTATCCCTTATCCAATGGAGTACCTTCCCTGTCACTTCTGCCTGCATCTCCAGATTTTTCACTAGCTTCTTGTGCGGTTCTGTGTCAAAGGCTTTCGGGCAATCCAAAAATATGCAGTCTGCTAATCCCTCTCTTCCTTGCCTGATTTTTGTTGCCTGGTCATTGACTTCAATTAATCCTGTGAGGCAAGATTTGCCATCCAGCATGCAAGTTAGGGACACTGGCCTGTAGTTTAGTGCCTCCTCTCTATCCCCCAGATTCCATCCTGGCCAATAGCCTTTGTCACAGCAAACTCTAGCAAGAGCTTCCTTACATCCCCACTGGTAATCTCAAACTCTTCTTGTGGTTCCTGGTTAACTATTCCCCTCTCTTATCTCTGGAACTTCTCCTTGCTCTAATGTGAAGACCTCTGGAATTTCTTATTCAATTCCTCGTACACTTCCATCTTGTTTGCAGTGTTCATCGTTTCCTCTCATTCTTGTGGGTTCCCTGACATATTGGCTTATAAAGTTTCTTGGTTCCACCTCCAATAGTTTTGCTGTCCATGTATCCTCACCTCCATGCGGTTCCTTGTTCTCCCAGTCTATCCTTCCAAGATTGAAGTCCTCCATGATGAGCAGATGGGATCAATTTATACAGGCAGCAGAGGCTGCCCTCTCAATTATAGTGATAACTGTAATGTTGTTGTTGCCATACTCTGGCCTTGGGTCTTCTGTCATTTGTTGGAGGGTTATATATCACTGCTACTGCTACTTTCGCGCTCCCGGCGATAGCCCATATAACTTTCCCCTCATGCTCCTGGCATTTCGGGCGACCGCACATCGACACTGAAATGTGTATACTCTGTTCGGTGTTCTCACCTTAATTTTCGATGTATATATTTCTTTTCGTTATCAATTTGTTCGCAATGGTGAACATATGTATACTATGTCACCATAGACAGCGTGAGACCCCACCAAATAAAAAACTATGTCGAGCGTAAGCCGTGAGCACCAAACAGCGATGAAATGTTTATGCTCTTTTCAGTTTTGTCAACTTAATTCTGGTTCTACATCGTTCATTTTGGTACCACAGTGTTTGCAATAAAAGTACCTATACGGATATTTGCATATAAAGTCCAAAACATAGGCGCGCCCCATCCTCAACAACGCCAAAAATCGTCGAAGCGTTATCCGCTTGTAACACAACTGGTACTCGGAGCCGTCTCCTCTTCTGAGTCAGATGAGTAGTCGTGGCCTTGAGGTGTCGAAGAAAATAGAGGCCGTCTCCCCCCTGATGGTCCGCGAGTTGCAACATTGGCGGCATCAAGCGTACTTGCATCATAATATATATCAGGAGCATGTGCCATGGCGTTATTTTGGAGAGGCCACTCATCAGTGTCCCACTTCAACAGGGACCACATTCCTACCTCATGAAACTGGAGCAAGGTCATTTTCTTGGGATCACTGCAATTGTTCTTGTACAACACAAATGCATTATGGAGAGCCTTTTGCAGAAAATAAAAAGTTATTTTTTTGGTCCACTTGTGACATTTTCGTGTGAAATGGTAATATTTTACCATTTGGTCAAAGTGATCAACACGTTTCATGTAGCGATTGAAGTCACATATTCCAGTTGGTTTGTTTACAGTTACTTGTTGTACTGAAGAAGTTCCGTCACGTTTCCGAATTCTTTTCCTTCATTCGACTTCCTGTGTGTCAGCATTGTGGCAGTTCGTGATGAGTGAGACCACTCGCTTGTCTTTCCACTTGCTTATAAATTTATTTTCCTTGCGGCGGAATATGATTGTATCCAAGGCAATTTTTCCCTTTGCTTTCAGTTGCAGATCCTTGGGTGCGCTACGCTGCAATCTGATGGTTCCACATATGTAAACCCCATGTTCACGTAGCTTTTTTTGGGAGGTTGACCGTGTTATAGTAGTTATCCATAATACAGATGATAACCCTTGTACATTAGGGGCTCAATCAAGCCAATGACTGTCTCCACTATTGTTTTACCAATACCGGCATACACTTCAGAGTCATATTTGTAGCCAGATGTTGATTCAGCAAGCATGTACAGTTTTACTCCATACTTATCAGGCTCATTTGGATTATAAACCTTGAAATATAATCGGCCACGCAATGACATTGTGCCTTCATCAAAACTCAATTCTTTCTTAGGAAAGTAGATTTGTGCAAATTTGCTTGTAAGATATATCATCAATGTTAGAACTTTTATCAATCTGTCTTTACTGTTCAGGGGAATGGCATTGTTATTATTAGTATGAAAAACTGGAAAAAAGGTTGAAACCATTTTGACATCATAAAAGTATTGAAGCTATGAACATGCCAGAGCATGCTTGTTTGCCAGTACATTCTCATCATTGGGAGCTTTGAAACGCCCATCAACATCCACAGATCCAAATATCTTGCCATTTCCTTTACAGTTACTTCTTCCCATATACCCATTGCGTTCGTGGAAGCATTCTGTATAATTTGTTATGCGTGAAGTTCGTTTCAAATGTATAATATTCAATCAACACTCGAGTCAGAAATAATTGTATAAATTCTAGAGGAGTAGTAGATGTCGGTTTAGTCTTGCCTGGTGCTTCAGTGAAACTGTCTACAGGTGGTGGAGTGTTGTCAGTACACCAGGTATTACCAGAATCTGTTTGTTGAGTACATGCAGCACGCTTTCGAGTTGGAGGCTGTGAGAGTGCCTCGCTCTCCTCAGAATCCTCACTCTCCTTACTCGTAGAAACATCATCATCTGCTGTCTCTCTATAAAAAATGTCACTACTGAAATCACTTTGTGGTACTTTCTCCTCAATATCTGACTCTATATCAGAGAATTCTTCGACCAAACCTGGGATCGTTGTTGGTGTCAGTCTCACTTAGCTCAACTTCTTGTAAAGCATAGTTATCTTATCCTTTTTGGGTGATTCCTTCGTTAATTTCGGAGTGGAACTGCTCTGCCCTTGACCATGATCCATCGTGTAGTGTATATAATGTGTTTAAAAGACACGGGAACAAATATATCTGCCGATAATAGCCGAAATGTGCACAAGTTTGGGAGGCGAGAGGAAGGCGTAGCAGTCACAAGCGGGGTCACTTAAACTATAGGGCCACCACATGGACTGGCGACCCAAGATGCCATGTGGCATATGGAAGAAAGCGGGAAGACAATGGTGTTGACTTTTTTATGTGTAGTGCCTCGCAGATGTCGAGTCTCCTGCTATCGCTGTATTTATCGATGATTTCCGTGTTGTTTGTTAAGATTTCTCTGGTTATGGTCTGGTTGTGAGAAGAGATTATATGTTCCTTGATGGAACCCAGTTGTTTATGCACTGTTAATCGCCTGGAAAGAGACGTTGTTGTCTTACCTAATATACTGAGTTCTTTGGGGTTTACAGTCCCCAAGCGGACATTTGAAGGCATAGACGACGTTGGTTTCCTTCAAGGCGTTATGCTTGTTCTCTGGGTAGCTTTTCAGGAGTAGGTTGGCCGCTTTTTTGGTTTTATATTAAATCGTCAATTTCACCTTATGTCCAGACCAAGTGAGATGGCCCGGAATGTGGAGTTGGAGATCTTATTGGACGACATATTTGACCTCGAGACGCAAAAGAAGGTTACCACAAAAGACACCTTGCAAGCCGAATTTATTGCAGAAGGAGGAAAGATTCGAGGTAACTACAGAAGTACCATACTGTCCCCCCCGAGCTCAAAGCAGCAGCTAAGAGCCTTCGCGAGAACAAGGAGATAGTCGTTTGGAGAGGTGACAAGTAGCCAATATAAGTTATTCTCAAAAGACACGGACATCTGGCGAAAATGAACATTATACTCCCTGACCAAACTAAATTCCAAATGGTAACGAAGGCCACTACAGACGAATTTAAAATGAAGGTAAACAGATTGATCGAAACTGTGAATACCAAGAAATCCGGACTCCACCTGCCAAAGATTATTGGGGAATACAAACCTAGATATGCATATGGAAATTTCAAGACCTGCAAGCCTGGAAATCCACTTTGGCCAATAATTAGCCAAATACCCACTCCCACATGCAGACTGGCTAAGCATCTCAACAGCTTGCTGACTCCTTATGTACCTTGTGCTTTCAGCCTGAAGTCTCCAAAGGAATTTGTTGACGGGGGACCGTCAACAAAGCGGGGACCACGGGCTACAGGGATAAGATCCTCGTTGGATGTAGAATCACTGTTTGCCAACGTACCTGTGGATGAAACAATCGGGATGATTGTTGGCAGAGTGTATCGTGATCCGGCTTGTACTCCTCTTGAAATACCAGAAAACATTCTTAGGAAACTACTCCAAGCTTGCACTAAAGAGGCACCCTTCTTGAGCACATGTATAAGCAGGTAGATGTGGTTGTCATGGGTTCTACCCATGGTGTCCTGTTTGGGAACTTCTACATGGTTACAATCGAGCAGAATGTTTCAGTTGACATGGACTTCAAACCCGCCATATACCATATGCTTCAGGTATGTTGACGACATTTTTACACAGGTACCTGATGCCAGATGTCTGAAGGAGCTAAAGGAGGTATTTGGCGGAATTCTGTGTTGAGTTTCACTTACGAGATGGAGAAGGATGGGAAGCTGCTCTCGCTAGATGTAACGATCACGGAAAGGAGCGGAGGCTTCCACACTGCAGTCTACGTTAATGCCAATAGTGACTGCCCGGACAGGTACAAGAGGAGTGTTGTCAATGCTTACGTCTTACGTGCTCTCAGCCACAGCTCAGGATGGAAGCAAGTAGATGAAGAACTCTGTAGGATAAGGGAGATCGTAGTCAACAATGGCTTCTTTAATGGTTTTGTTGAAACATCATAAAAAGAAAAAAGAAATGTCATGCAACCTCTGAAGAGTCAACTAAAACCACGCATGTACCCCATATTAGACTATTTTACAGGAACTTCTTTTCAACGGCTCAAAAAACGGAGGAAAGTGTCCTGAAGGATATTGTTGATAGGAACGTCATCTCTACAGACAAAAATCTGAAAATACAATTGACGATTTGCTATAAAACCAAAAAAAACAGCCAACCTACTCATGAAAAACTCTCCAGACACCAAGCAGAACGCCTTGAAGGAAATCAACGTCGTCTATGCCTTTAAATACCCACTTGGGGACTATAAGCCCCAAAGAACTCAGTATATAGGCAAGGAAACAACGTCTCTTTCCAGGCGATTAACAATGCATAAACAACAGGGGGTTCCATCAAGGAACATATAATCTCTTCTCACAACCAGTCCATCATCAGATAAATCTTAACAAACAACACAGAAATCCTCGATAGATACAGCGATAGCAGGAGGCTCGACATCTGCGAGGCATTATACATCAAAAAGTCAACACCAGTAGTCAACAGCCAATTAATGCACAACTATATTCTACTCACTTCAAGACTCCAAACCAATATAGAAGCATCAAGAGGAAGCATCATTGGCCAATAAGCCTTCTACAGTTACTTCCATTCATATGGTTTTATACTCATTGGTTCGTGTTCTATCATATGTAAATGTCAATCACCTCACCCAAAACTTTTGAACCATATCACCTCACCCAAATGCGAGTATAAGTATGGATGTATTTTGCATGTTTACAGTTTACATGTGTGTGTAAACTAAAGTCTTTGAAAATGTAATAAGTTATTTTGAAATGTGTTCAGGCGTCGCGTCAGGCTAGATATAACAATGAATTTTGGAGAATTAATTTTTCAATTACCATCGACAGTGAAAATAAACATAACAAATATTAAGAAAATTCGTGTTAGAATTATTAATCTTACTTTTTCAATCATATTCAACAACATATGTTTACAAGAAAGATTGGTACTAAAATATACTAATATAAAAACGATCGACCCAGCAGCAAGAAACCAACCCTTCACAATAAGATATCGCCAAGATTTGATTCGAAATCAGCAACACAAGGCAGAAAATGAGGTCAAAGACAACAAAACGCTACTAATTCACGCTACAAGCCAATGGAGAAACAGCAACATTGACGAAAACCTCCGTACGCGTATCGACCAAACCTCGACATCCATACAGATCAACATCGCCACAGCACCGAAACCAGGATCATGAAGAAACTAACAACATTATATGTGTGAAAAAAGAAATAATTAACTAGAATGTATTAAACTTATATAATTTACACAACATTTCGAACCTACATGGTTCATTCGCAAGTGATGTTACAGTACAGGACCTACGATTTATTCCATTAGTGGGTCAGGTGAATACAGATTGATTGAACAATTGGGTCAGGTTAGGACACGTGGATAGAACACTGGGTATACAAATGGGTATAGAATAATGCAAGGTGTAGTGGGCGTGGCATGTTGAGCAGTGTCTTCTGGTTATAGAATAGGAGCTGCCTCGTATGGGCCAATAGGCCTTCTGCAGTTACCTTTGTTCTTATGTTCTTATGTTCTATGTTGACATCTTCATGTTCTAGTGATGTTCTTACTCTCATTGTGGGGTAGAGTGAATAGTTCCGTAATTTGGGTATTTATGGTAGGTTGTTCCATTTTTATGTAGATTGCTTCAAGAATTTGTAATCATCTTACGTCTTGGGTTTAGTCTATTATACAAGTGTTTTAATTCATCATTTCTCTTGTTAGAGTGATGTCATGGGGTTGTCTCTTGTGATTTCTGAGGGCACCGGATTGAAGATGACAAGTCAAACGCCTCGTCAGCTTGGTAGACGTCATACCTATGTACTTAGATTGAAAGATACATCCTTTGTGGGGGCAGGTGAACATGTATACTACGTTTGACTGCCGTAAAGGGTTCTCCATCGCTTTCGGGCTGTTTTTAATGTCTTCTTATAGTAGTGTTTATTTCTGTGTTGCTATATCCATTGTTCACCAACAAACGAGTTATTCTTTCAAACACCTTACTCACGTTACTCCATTTGGAGCAGTGGGTAAGCGCTTGACGAATATGTTGTTGCGACATTGGGAATATGTTCCCAAATATATATTTTCTTTAATATGTTCTATCGGGGATTAACACAATCAACGATAGGTCATGTTTTTACAAATCAAAACACCTAAACTATTGTGATCGTCTCTAAGTTCTCCAAATGTACTCTCTAGAATGGAGACGAGAGATGTATCAATACATGGAAAATATTGGAGGGGCTAGGTCCCAAATCTACAAAGTAAAATAACAGCATACTGGAGCGAACGATATGGAAGGAAATGCAGAATAGAACCAGTGAAGATCAGATGTACCATGGGCACAATCAGAGAACAATGTATGAACATCAGCGGTCCACGGTTGTTCATTATCCTTCCAGCGGGTATAAGAAATATTGCCTGAACAAAAGTGGACATCTTCAAGAAAAAACTGAAAAGTTTTCTTTATAAGTGCTAGACCAACCGGATTGTTGTGGATATGTGAGCCTGCGGGCCACTTCAAGCAACAGCCTGTTGGACCAAGATCTCACAAATCAAACCAGGCCCCGGGCCGGGCGTTAGGAGTAGAAGAACTCCCAGAATCCCATCCAGGTTCAATGCAAGTACTAGTTACCCGAATAAATATGTCCAATTTTGGTACAAAAACACTGAACTACGAGAGGTCCCAATTTACTTAAGCTTCACAGCTTAAGTACTATCAACAAATTACTGACAGCAAAGGATAATGCATCTAGGATCCGATTAAACTCCAGCAAACGCAGATCTCGTAACAATTAGCTGTTTTTGATAGGATTTACTCCACCAGCGTGGACCAACACATTAGGCAGCACTCAGCTCTATTTCACGCTTTCCTTGTATTCAACTTATATTGTTTTGTTTATAATGCAGACAATCTCACAATAATGAGATTAAGAATTAGACTTCCAATCCACAATTTAAAAAAAAAGAGAATTGACTCCATTTCAGTCCCTCTTGAACCATTATTAAGTCATCTAACGGATTCGGTAGATTGGTTGTCTAATACGTCTGTCTGTAATCAACAGAGATTCAAATATGAGACATACCCCAAGATAGCATCCCTAGAGAAACATTTCTTTGTATGTTTGGGGTTATTTCGGAGCGTTACAAGTGTTCTTCACGTATTCTAGCGAAGCTACTAAGATAGGAAAAGAAGAATCAGAGAAGCAAGATTCTCAATAAGATGAATAGACGCAGATCGCGTGGAGAAAAGTCACGAAGATTCACGAATATTCATCTTGACGTTTCTTGTTGCTAAGCTCACGGGAACAATGATCTGAAATCGGAACATTACAACAGTTAAGAGTCAGTAAACGATTCTTATATCTTTTTTTATACCGAGATTGTTAGTGCATGAACACTCTTCGATTATTTATTTCATAACTGTATTTTATTTGACGAAGCAAGAAGGTAGACATTATATATTTCTGTATATTATTGAAGTCTTTGTTAAGTTCCATATCGAACGTAATTCACACCAAAATACAAATGTATGATGTACACCTTAGTATTATACTGGTTGGAAAACGTGTGTTGTACAGAAGCAAACAGTGTGTATGCATAAAGGAAATTTTTAAAATATTAGTTAGATGTTGCAAGCAGAGTGCCACAGAGGTAGTTATTTCATGCTTTATGGAGATGACATCGATATCTGTTTATATTGCACATTGCAGAGGTGACTGTTCCCCTCCACCTGGAACAGTGACTACCACAATGGTGACTGTTCCTCCTCCACTTGGAACAGTGACTACCACAATGGTGACTGTTCCTCCTCCACCTGGAAGAGTGACTACCACAATGGTGACTGTTCCTCCTCCACCTGGAAGAGTGACTACCACAATGGTGACTGTTCCCCCTCCACCTGGAACAGTGACTACCACAATGGTGACTGTTCCCCCTCCACCTGGAACAGTGACTACCACAATGGTGACTGTTCCACCTCCACCATGAACGGTGACCACCACAATGGTGACTGTTCCTTCTCCACCTGGAACAGTGACTACCACAATGGTGACTGTTCCACCTCCACCTGGAACAGTGACCACCACAATGGTGACTGTTCCTTCTCCACCTGGAACAGTGACTACCACAATGGTGACTGTTCCACCTCCACCTGGAACAGTGACCACCACAATGGTGACTGTTCCTTCTCCACCTGGAACAGTGACTACCACAATGGTGACTGTTCCACCTCCACCTGGACCAGTGACCACCATAATGGTGACTGTTCCACCTCCACCTGGAACAGTGCCAACCATAGTTACTGTTCCACCTCCACCTGGAACAGTGCCAACCATAGTTACTGTTTCACCTCCACCTGGAACAGTGCCAACGATAGTTACTGTTCCACCTCCACCTGGAACAGTGCCAACCATAGTTACTGTTCCACCTCTACCTGGAACAGTGCCAACCATAGTTACTGTTCCACCTCCACCTGGAACAGTGCCAACCATAGTTACTGTTCCCCCTCCACCTGGTGTTCCATGGCAGGGGAACAATAACTCCATCAGACAATAACGTGTTGTTTATGGTATAACGGAGGAGGGAGTTAATATTAGTAGTCGTGTGGAGACTGGAGTGTGCCACATTAACTCACAACAAGACGCTATATCTGCAACAGTGCAGCATGAAGCCATCGTCTTCCTCAGGACCACTTGCAGTTCTGGTCAAGACAAAAGAAATGGAACCATTAATTTTCAGTAAAGTTGAAAATTTTCAGTAAAGCTCTATATTCTAGAGACCTTGAATTCATTTTTAGCCGGGGAATTTATGATTTAATTAATTATTATGATCTTAGTGTTGACGAAGATGAGGAAATGTTTCAATGAGGGTTATAATTCTTAATTAATTTCGTTAGTTTCATTCTCTTTGGAAAGAGGCATAACACCTCCCTGGCCCCTTGTGATGCCAAGGATAAGAAACTATTGAATGTGAAACAATACTTTAATGTAATAATAATGTACAGAGAACATTATTGTAATATTATCTATGTAGACTGCAAATATTACTACCAAAGTCTTAATCTGAAACGTAAAGTTAAACATCAGTGGAAAAACAATATGCTTCTAGATTAGAAGTTGTTACGTCAATAAAAATATGTAACGCAGAATTCCTTAAATATCATCAGTCTAGGAAAACATTAATTGAAAAATAAGTAATTCTTATGAAAAATTAATAACAAATAAATAATTTGCAGAAGAAAGAATTAAGCCAATTTGGCAATAATTGCCAAACAATTAGCACAAAATTAAATAATAAATAGGTAAAAAATATTAAAATACAAAGAGAGATTACGAAGTCAATAAGATCATGTAGACGATGATTCACAATAACGGGGCTGAAGATATGATGACCAAATCACAAACCAGAAGATGAGGAGACGACGACCCATCGGTACGTCCTGGGACCATGAGCAAGTCGACTGTGATGGGAGCAAGGGCGGCAAAAGCACTATGGGTTCCTTACTTAATGCCCGAGCCTCCCTTGCTCTTGTATAAGCACTGAAAATATAGTTATTGGTTGTAAATCACGTGTGAGTATGTCTTGAGTAAGGTCTGTGTATTTATGAATGGACCAGCTGTGTGGCATACGAGATTGGGTATTGATTTGAAGGGCATTGTTACTGATCTGATGTGCATGTGTTTGTATTTACGAGGTAAAAGTTAACTTACCCAAAGAGTGACAAAAAATCGAAGTACTTCGGTTACTCTCCTACACTCTAAAAATGTTCCATATTCATTTCAAATTATTCACACGACGATATAAATCTTCAACTTTTATGTTCAAAAATATGAAGACGTCATTCGTGCCCAGAAACATTATATACAAATTCCCATAGAAACATAATACGTGAGAAGGGACATGAGTATTTTCAGTCATTAATGATACATTTTTGTTAAACAAAACATATGTTTGGACTCACCCTGAGAGGTTAGAAGAGGCGATTTAGTTGAGAAGGAAGAGTTTACTTGTGTGGCCTCAATAGTTATATCCTGAAGTGTTGAGCAAACTTACCGGCAGTTCGCCCTTGTTGACTCACTGCTGGTCTACTGTCTGCTCCCCCTGTCTGGCCTGTGTTGTCACTGTCATCTTGCTCTCACTCTCATCATATGTTGCAGGTCACTGTCATCACATGTTGTTGTCACTGTCATCACATGTTGTTGTCACTGTCATCACATGTTGTTGTCACTGTCATCACATGTTGTTGTCACTGTCATCACATGTTATTGTCACTGTCATCACATGTTGTCACTGTCATCACATGTTGCTGTCACTGTCATCACATGTTGCTGTCACTGTCATCACATGTTGCTGTCACTGTCATCACATGTTGCTGTCACTCTCATCACATGTTGCTGTCACTCTCATCACATGTTGCTGTCACTCTCATCACATGTTGCTGTCACTGTCATCACATGTTGCTGTCACTGTCATCACATGTTGCTGTCACTGTCATCACATGTTGCTGTCACTCTCATCACATGTTGCTGTCACTGTCATCACATGTTGCTGTCACTATCATCACATGTTGCTGTCACTGTCATCACATGTTGCTGTCACTGTGAAAATGGAAGAGAGGAGAGAGAAAGGTAAAGTGAAGGGAGAGGGGTGAGAAGTGGGAGGGATGTCAGTAGTGGGGGGGGGGGGGTGAGAAAGAATAGGGAAAGAGAGATGAGAGAAGGTAGAAAGATTGAGAGAGGAGAGGAGAGGGTGAGAGAGAGATAGGGAGGAGCAGAGTGACCCGCGCAAAGCCATTAGCCCTCTTGTAGTTTTCTTACATAAAGAAAGGTGAATTTTTCATCCACAATAATAATATATGTGGCAATATATGTCCCTTTCAGAACTAGTAATCGATACACATACATGTTGGATCAAATGGCAATAACGCAGCTTATAATAGGCTTCAACGTGTAATTGGTAACGCTAAACTCTGAGGAATTAACTAGAGTAAAAGGGATTTTTTGTTCAAAATTAATTATTTTTTGATAGAAAGGTTTAAAAAATTACATACTGCCGACGAAAATATGGCTTTGCAACATTTTCCAAAAATTCCTTATCTAGTTTCCTGTAAAAAAAAAAATCAGTGTATTTCAAATGTGTCTTGTCGGTTAGATGTGCTGTCCTAATTCTGGCAATGTATACGGTATTCAGGTGAAGTATACTGACCGGTCTTCAAATTATTATACAGTATACAGGCGATATACCGCCTTGCATTGGTTTGTGTATACAATACACAAGCGAGATATACCTCCCAGTCTCGGACTGTGTAATCAATACACAGGTGAAATATACGATTGGCAGTAATATACTCTGATATTCACAGAACAGAGCACACAAGGATTATTGTCTATCCTTAGAGATTGCTGAAAATGAATTTATATGAATACCTGATTTCAATCCAGCCGGGATAGCTTGGTTATTAACACAAATATCAATAACAAAGGCATTAACTCTTTATCAATATATGTGAATTGCGTCATAAAGAAGGCATCATAGTCTCATGATGAAGCTCTCCTCTAGAGAGCATTGTGCAAGGGGCTCAAGACTGCGAACACTAACAGGCGAGTGGAACAGCCGAAAGGGTCCACACAGTGTTCACAGTAAGCGCAAAACCAATACACCACTTAGTACTTATAGAAGATCCGAAGAACGGATGTCTCACAGTTCAGTGTTATCTGCTCCCTGTTTCACATCAAGAAACTGTGACATTAAACTCAAAACTTGTACTTATACCTTTCGTCCCCTTGACATAAAGCTCGCCTTTCGACAAACTATCACACTTCGTTCACACACTTCAACTAGTTCACACTGCTCCTCCGGCTTCTAATGCAGCTGGTATCCACTTTATTTCTTGTTCATCTTGTCCTCTCCAATACTTTGATAAAACTGGCCGTACACTTAATGACAGACTCGAGGAACACAAAAGAAGTGTTATGTCAGCAGACATAAACAATGCTCTCTTCTGTCATGTTAGGGATTCTAATCATACTTTGATTGGTCTTCCTCCAAAAATAATCTTTCTTGCCTCTACACAGACGCCGTCTTGTCGAATCGGCTCTGATACACAACCTACTCAACATGAACCTGAGTCCTGGCCTTGTTGCTGTTGACTCTTCCCTTTCACAGTATATACTCAAATGTTCTAAACTTTCTAATAAACGTCACCTAATATAAGCCCACCCTTCTTTTTATCTTTCTTTTTCTCACTCTTGTTTTCTCTTACGATCTCATTCATATCCCAATTATTACACCGTTTATTACACTTTACCTTCCGTACATTTTGGCTTGCTCTTTTCTTCCTCTAAGATTTCAATCTCCTCACCTTTCTCTAGCCAATTTATTGCCCTTGCTTCCTTCATCTCATCACAATCGACTTGATAATGGTCCAGGATGAACCGAAACGTCGTCGTCTATTCGTTTTCTAGTATGTGATTTGGTCAACACAGTAAAGTGCCCTTTTCGTAACCTACCAGAGGAACCAAAACAGAAAACTGGAAAATATGTTCACTTCGCGAGCCGCTACAATTTTCAAGTAAGAAAAATGTTTGTCCTTGGGTTGCATATACGTCAAAATGGGATGGGGAATGAGGAGGACGGGTTGGATTATCAGACTCAACAAACTATAGCTTTTTCCAGTGGGAGGAAGCTCTGGTGGTTAAGGCTGTAGGTTGTTAAGCTGAAAGTGTTGCTTAACAAGCTACACTACAACTTACCACTTGTTAAGCTTGCTGGGCCGGCAAGCTCGGCACTTGACTGCATGAACAACATCAACAGTCAGAACAACAAATATATCGTCTCTACTGATATACTCTGGAGACAACAGCATATTACACACCAGTTTCTAATTTATAATCGTCTGAGTTTGATCACAACAATCACTAAACATAACATTAAATATATTTACGTTACTTAAACGTTACTGACGTTTAATTAGCGTGAAGAAGCGTTAGGAATACGTTATGTGTTTGTTGGAGAAAATTTATGACAACTTGTTTTCATAGATATTTATACACGAATTTCAAAGCCATTTCTGAAGAGAAGAACTGAGTAGACTCTACTGCACATGAGAAGAATTATTCTGTCAGTATCTCTTGCGAAACTTCCCAAGTTACACTGATATTCCTCTGAACCTCCCGTTACCCTTGTAGTTTCGCGGAACCACTAGTTACCTCGAGATTCTGTGAAACTCTTAGATACCTTGAGTTTCAGCGGAATCGATAGTTGCCTTCGAGTTCCGTGGAACTCTTAGTTATCTTGAAGTTCCGTGAAACTCTTAGTTACCTTGGAGTTTCATGGATCCTCCGGATGGGAAACGCTGCTCTAGAGAGACTGCGTAGTCCGAGTGAGGGAAAGAGGAGGTAAAAAAATATGTATCGAATAATCTTAAGAACACGAACGGGTTTGAATAAAAAATTTACACTTACGGGGGTGGGAGGGGGGGGGGGGGGGTCGT